GGTCCTGGGCCTGGCGGACCACCGGCTGCTGGTGCGCTACGCCATCCGCGGCGCGGGTGCGCCGGAGGACGCTTTCACGCTGCTGGTGCCGCTGCCCGAGCGCGAGCTGCGGAGCCTGACGGCCATGGACCTGTCGGAGGACGCCGAGTACCTCGCCGTCATCACCGAGGACGCTTCGGTGGTGATCGTGCCGCTGCTGGAGCTCATGTGCCTCTGCAACTCGAGCTGGGCAGACCTCGTGGCGGCGCGCCGGGGGGACAGGCGGCCACACCTGCTGCGGGACCCCCACGGGGATGATCCCGTGAAGGGCGCGCTGTCCTCCATGGCAAGCGCCTGGGCGGCCATGGGGCTCGCCGGAGGCGAGCTGTTCACCGAGTTCATCGGTGGCTCTGGCGCGGGTGGCGACGCGCGCGACTCTTCGGCGCTCAGATTCACCATCCCCACGGTCCAGCGCGAGAACGCCACCATCTCGTCTTGCGTTTGGTGGACGCGGGAGGCAGAGCCCGGGGGCTGCGGCAGCGCGCCAGGAGGCGGCGGCGCCACCACCAGCGTGGGCTCGGAGGACGGAGGCACCCGGGGCGTCGCTCAGGCGTCCGAGCACTACGTCGTCCTCGGCTCCCTGTGCGGCCAGCTCACCATCGTCGACGTGGCGCGGCAGGCCGAGGTGCGCAGCTTCCGCCTGGCGCCGATCGTGTGGCTGCAGCGGTGCCAGTCGCGCTCCAAGGAGTGGCTGCTGATAGAGACTGCGGCGGAGCCGAAGCACTGGCGGCTGCTGCTGGCTGCGACGATCGAGGGGAAGGCTGGCAGTCCGCCCGTGCTGTGGAGCATCACCGACGGCGTCGCGCTGCCCACCTCGGCGCACGAGAGCTTCGAGCTGGAACCGCTCAGCGGCATGCCGCCCCTCTACCAGCTGCTAGTCCTGCGGAAGGGGCGGGGGGAGGACTGCAGGGCCAGCCGCACGGGGTGGGCGGCCGCGGACTCGGAGGTGGTGGGGATGCTGGTGGACGACGACGTGGCGCCCGCCCGGGACGACGAGCTCCCGGCGCCGCTGTGCGTGCTGCTCTCGCTGCCGTCCATACCAGAGGAGCCCCTGGCGCGGATCGACCTGCCCATCTCGGCCGCGCCTCCCGGGGCTCCGGGGCGCAGGAGCCTGGCCGACGTCGTGCTGCTGCTCGGAGGGGGCATCGTGCTGTCGATCGTCCACATCAGCGACGGCCACGGCGGGGAGGAGACGGAGCTGTCCCTGAGCACCGCAAAGCCGCGGCCGTGCGAGGCTGGCATGGACCTCCCCAACACGCCCGCCAACACCATCATCCAGCAGTTCCGCGTCCCGGGCCGGGTGGTCGGAGGCCTCCCAGGGTACTCCACGTGGCCAGCAAGCTCCCGCATGGAGCGGGGCGCCATGGACACCGACATCGACGCCTGGTGCGGCAGGTCCGTCTGGACCACGCTGGCAGTAGTCTGGTCGCTCGCAGAGGTGTACATCCTGAAGGCGTCCTTCGCCCATCTCTGCGTGACGCTGCAGACCCAGTCCATGTGCAGCCTTGCCGGGCTGCCTGCGCGGGGCGCGGCGCCCAGGGCTGGCCCGCTCGGAGACACAGGACCGCCCGCTGGTGCGCTGCAGAGCCCGGAGCCCGCCTCCAAGGGCTCGGGCCCCGGGGAGCAGTTCGAGGGCGTGCTGCCGCTGGTCTGCTGGTCCTGGGACGTCGACTTCGACGAGCTGATGCTGCAGGCTGGCGAGCAGGCCTTCGCGAGCGCCCTCTTCGAGTCCAAGGACCGGGCCGTGCGCGCCGCGCTGGTGCTGTGGGCGCGGAGGTCCACCGACCTGGTGCCCCTGGGCCTGCTGACGGAGTGCTTCGGGCAGCTGGCGCAGGACGTGGCGGTGGTCCAGGCCCACGGTCCGGCCATCCTGCGGGTGCTCATGCCGCACTGGCCCGGTGTGGCGGCCGAGCTCGGCGGGGCGCGGGGTCCGGGCGGCCCGCCCGCCGGCGAGGTGGGGCCCGCTGCTGTCGCCTGGTTCTTGTCGCTCGCGGTGATGCTCCTCGTGGTGATGCACCCAAGGTGCACCGGGAGGGGCGAGTACACGCGGACGCGGCGCCCCGCCGCGAGCTCCAGCAGCGGGCCAGCTGCCCGCGACTTCGCGGAGGAGTGGCAGGCGTGGGTGTCCGCAAGGGTCACGGAACTGCTGAGCGGCGGGCGCGGTGCACCTCCCGAGAGTTTCGCCGTTCTCGCGGACGGCCTCCAGGCTGAGTTCGAGGCTTGGTGGCAGCGGGAGTGGCGCTCGGACCACGAGGCGGGCCACGGCGGCGAGACGCGCGGCGCAGGACTCGACTCCCCGTTGGCGCCAGCCCTGGAGGTGCCAGCCGCCAAGGACGAGTGGGGCCCCTGGCCACCGATGCCGCAGTTGCCGCTGGAGGCCGCGCGAAGGGGATCTGGCCGCGGCGCCGCGAGCCGCGCGGGCGCCAGCACTCTTCTCGCGGTTCCAGGCTCGCCTCGCGAGGCCGCGGAGGACTGCTGGTGTTCCAGGCTGCTGCTGCTGTGCGGGCTGCGGAAGCGCTGGCTGCCAACATCCACCAGCGACTTCTGCGCCCTCGCCAGCCACCTGGTGCAGCGGCACCTGCGCGGAGGGGGGCTGCTGGCCGCCTCGGCGCTGGTGGCCGTGCTCTTCCGGGGCCTAGCGCTGACGGCGTTGTCCGACGCCGCTGGGGGGGCAGACCCAGCGGCTGCGCGGCGGCAGCAGTTGCCCGCCGCTGTGCGAGAGGGTCTGGGCGTGGTGTTCTCGTTGTTGTCCTGCCTCGCGATCGCCAGGCCCGCTGACGCAGCCGAGGGGGCCTGGCGGGTGCTCTGGGAGGCGTTGTGCGCGTTGCGCCCAGGCTGCGCTGGGCTGGGCCCGGGCTGCAGCAACCTCAACGGGCAGGCCACTGCGGCCGCGGGCTGCGTGGAGCTGCTGCTGCGCGCGCCCGCCGCGTGGCTGGAGGCGGCGCTTAGCGCGGCGAGTCCTGGAGGCGGGGATTCGCCGCGGCTGCCGCCCTGGAAGGCGCCAGCGGGCTCGCGCGGCGGGCAGGCCTCGTGGTCGGAGGCGGACCAGCGCCTGCTCGATCTGATAGGAGAGCTGCCCGACTGGGGCCGTTGCGTCGAGCTGTGGCCGCAGTGGAGCTGGGAACAGGACGGCGGCGCCCGCGCCGCCCTGTCCTCGTCGCGGGCCTTCGGCGCCACAGCGCGGCACCCTCCGCCGCTGGGCGCCGAGGTGGGTGACCCGCGCGGCCCCTCCCATGCCCTGGCCTCGCTGGAGCGCTGGCTCCTCAAGAACGCGGCGGTCGGCGACGACCCGGCCACGGCGCAGGCAGGCGACGACCTGGGCGCCGCCGCCGAGCTCGAGCGCGCCGCCCAGCGCGCCGAGCCCCTCGACGGAGGGCCCCCGGGCGGCCTGGGGCTGCTGCAGCAGGCCGCGGCGGCCGAGGCGGCGCGCGGCTGCGCCGCTGGGGCCGGCGGCGGGGAGCGCCTCGGCCGCGCGGGCTGGTGGGCGGCGCTGTGCGCCAGGCACCCCGGGGCCCTGCCCACCCTCGTGCTGGCCCTCATGGCGGCGGAGCACCGCTGGGTCTGGGAGCTGCCCTGGGCGCCCGGCTTCCGGCTGCACCTCGCGCGCGCGCTCTTCGCGGCCCGGGCCGCGGCGGAGGCCTGGCCCGCGCCGGGCGCCGCAGAGGGGGCCCCGCCTGCGGCCAAAACCGTGCGGTCCTCCTCGTCCTGCACTCGTCTGTCGATCCGATCCCGATCCGATCCCGCGAGGATTCCGACGCGATCCGATCCGTTTCTGACCCGATCCGGTTTCGATCCAGCTCGAGCCCTGATGGAGGAGGAATGGGGGAGGAGGAGGAGGCGGAGGAGGAGGAGGAGGTGGCGGAGGGGGAGGAGCAGGAGTGACTGGAGGAGGATGAGGAGGAGGAGGAGGACGAGGACGAGGAATGGGATGATGATGATGATGCTGACGCTGCTGATGATGATCATGATGCTGCTGCTGCTGATGATGATGATGCTGATGATGATGATTTTTGATGCTGATGATGGTGAGTATGATGATCATGCTGGTGGTGGTGGTGATGCTGCTGCTGCTGCCGATGATGATGATCGATGATGATGATGATGCTGATGATGATCGATGATGATGATGCTGCTGCTGCTGACGATGATGTTGCTGATGTTGATGATGATGATGCAGCTGATGGTAATGACGATGATGAGGATCATGATGATGGAGGTGGTGATGATGCCGATGATGATGATGAGGAGGAGGAGGAGGAATATTAGGACGAGGACGAGGAGGAGAAGGAGGGAGAAGGAGAGGGAGAGGGAGAGGGAGAGGGAGAGGGAGAAAGAGAGGTAGGGGGATGATGATGACGATGCTGATGATGATGATGATGATGATGATGAGGAGGAGGCGGAGGAGGAGGAGGAGGAGGAGGAGGAGGAGGAGGACGAGGACGAGGATGAGGATGAGGATGATGCTGCTGATGCTGATGTTGGATGATGATGTGATGATGTAGATATATGATGATGTTGATGATGATGATGATGATGATGATGATGATGGTGATGGTGATGATGATGATGTGATGATGATGATGCTGATGATGTTGATGGTGATGTGATGCTGAATGCCTGATGATGTGATGATGAGATGATTTTGTGATTGCTGATGATGATGATGATATGATGATGTTGATGTGAGGTGATGATGATATGATGATGATGATGTGATGTGATGATGCTGATGCTGATGATGATGATGATGATGCTGTGATGCTGATGATTGCTAGTAGTATGTGTGATTGTTGATGATGCTGATGATGATGAGTGATGTATGATGATTGTAGTTTATGATGATGATGTTGATGATGATATGATGGATGATGATGATGATGATGATGGATGATGATGATGATGATGATGAGATGCTGATGATGCTAGGTGATGCATGATGCTGCTGCTGATGATGATGATTGAGGAGGAGGAGGAGGAAGAGGAGGAGGAGGAGGAGGAGAAGGACAAGGAGGAGGAGGAGGAGGAGGAGGAGGAGGAGGAGGAGGAGGAGGAGGAGGAGGAGGAGCAGGATATGGAGGGGGGAGGAGGAAGGCGAACCCGATCCGTTTCCGATCCGATCCCGCCTCGCTGCACGACCCGGCTCGGGCCTTCGGCCGTGCGCGCTGCCGGGGGCCAGCCCCCCCCTCCTTCGATGATCCCCAGGACGCGTGTCAGCCCAATGTGTGTTTGCCCCGCTCAGCTCCGCCGACGGCACGCCGCCTGCTTTGGCCTGAGCGGACTCTCTGCCTTGCCCTTTGCTGTCCTACCCTTTTCGTCGCCCCTGCCGAGGACCGTCCCTGCGGGCGCTGGCCTCGGCGAGGCGATGCCGCAGGCAGGGCGCGCGAGCAGGGAGCCCAAGGTGCGCCCTGCTCGAGCAGGAGGAAGTGGAGGAGGGGGAGGAAGAGGAAGAGGGATGAGGAGGAGGAGGAGGAGGAGGAGGAGGAGGAGGAGGAGGAGGAGGAGGAGAAGGAGGAGGAGAGGAAGGAGGAGGAGTGGCAGGAGGCGTCGGAGAAGGAGGAGGAGGAGGAGGAAAAGGAGGAGGAGGAGGAGGAGGAGGAGGAGGAGGACGAGGATATGTAGGATGCGCCGGAGAAGGAGGAGGAAAGAGGAGGAGGGGAGGAGGAGGAGGAGGGGGGGGGGGGTGAGGGGGGAGGAGGAGGCGGAGGAGGAGGAGGAGGAGAAGGAGGTGGAGAAGAGGACGAGGGTGAGGAGGAGGAGGAGGAGGAAGGAGGAGGAGGACGGAGAGGACGGGGGAGGAGGAGGGAGGAGGAGGAGAAGAGGGGAAGGAGGGGGAGGAGGAGCGAGAGGAGGAGGAGGACGTGGAGGAGAGGAGGAGGAGGAGATGGAGGAGGATGGAGGAGGAGTGAGGTGGAGGAGGAAGAGGCGGAGGAGGAGGAGGTGGAGGAGGAGGTGAGGAGGAGGAGGTGTAGGAGGAGGAGGAGGAGGAGGAGGAGGAGGAGGAGGAGGAGGAGGAGGAGGAGGAGGAGGAGGAGGAGGAGGAGGAGGAGGAGGAGGAGGAGGTGCGCCCTGCGCGATCCCGAGGATGCCCCCAGGTGCACCAGACCTCCAAGAGGTCCAGTGGGCTGTGCACGTCGGCCTCCCTTCTCGTTGCTCCTCTCCGCCAATGGTGATGGCGACGACGATGACGATGACGCCATCACCATCATCGTCACAATCATCGCCACCCGTCACCATCATCATTAGCAGCATCATCATGGTCAGCAGCAGCGTCATCATAATCATCATCAGCAGCATCATCATCATCATCATCATCAACAGCATCATCATCATCATCTTAATAATCATCATCATCATCGTCGCCATGACCATCACCATCCGATCACCATTCACAAAGTATCATCATCAGCAGCATCATCATCAGCATCAGCAATCATCATCACCTTCACCACCGCTACCACCATCACCACCATCACCAACATCATCACCACCATCATCATCACCATCATCAGCATCTTCACCATCACCACCACCAACATCATCACCATCACCATCGTCACCATCAGCATTACCACCATCACCACCGTAATCATTATCACCATTGCCATCATCATCGTCATCATCACCACCAGCATCATCATCATCATCAGCATCATCATCATTGTGATCATGTTCATCTTCATCTTCATCATCATCACCGTCAACGTCATCATCATCATCACCATTACCACAATCACCATCATATTCATCACCATCACCATCACCATCCTTACCATAAGCATCATGATCGACATCATCTACATCATCAGCATCGTTATCATAATGACCGTTAACACTATCATCACCATCATCACAACCTTCATCACCACCACCATCAACATCGCCACCATTGTCACCACCATCGTCATCAACACCATCACCATCATTGTCATCAACATCATCATCGCAGTCATCACAATCATCATCAGCAGCAGTATGATCACCATCATCACCATCATCATCCCATCACCATCATCATTATCGCCATTCATATCATCATCAGCAAGAGCAATGACATCATTATCATTACCACCACCATCATCGTCATCATCATCATCATCATCGTCATCGTCATCATCATCGTGATCATGTTCACCTTCATCTTCATCATCATCACCGTCAATGTCATCATCATCACCATTACCACAATCACCATCATATTCATCAACATCACCATCACCATCCTTACCATAAGCATCATGATCGACATCATCTACATCATCACCATCATCATCCCATCAACATCATCATTATCGCCATTAATATCATCATCATCAAGAGCAATGACATCATTATCATTACCACCACCATCGTCATCATCATCTTCATCATCATCATCATCATCATCGTCATCGTCATCGTCATCGTCATCATCCTCATCATCATAACCTCCTCCCTGGCTCCGTCTCGCGGGAAAGAACAGTACCCGCGTTCCTGCGCCCCCACGTGCGTCGATGCCGGTCTGATTCGTCCGCATCCTTGCCCCCTTTCTTTCGTGATCCCGCCCGCCTTCTCGTCTCATCGACCCCGTCCAGGTCCAGACCGCTCGCCCCTCCCGCGTGGGCACCGGGGGAGCGTGGAGGTCGCCGAGCGGCAGAGCGCGTCAGGGATGGACCCCCCGAAGCGAAGCGTCACGACCGCCACGAGAGGGGGGACACGAGGACGGTCGATGGCCATGTGCCATGAGGCCGAGTGCACTCGAGGCGTGCCAGAGAGGGCCCTGCCTTCGAGGGTCGAAGGAGTTACCATCTCTCCCCTGCGGCGGAAGGGCGGCGGAAGGTGGCGGAAGTCAAAGACGCGCCCCCAAGGGATGGAAACGTTTGTAGGGTCAGGGTTTCCGTGATCCGCCGCTTGATGTGGACAGCTCGGGCGAGAGCCGAATGCACATGCGGCCGTGCGTCTCTCCGCAGCTCGGCCATGGCGTGGCCGGGCACGCTGGCCTCCCGCGCGTGTATCTCGTAGCTCTGGCGCGTGGCCTGCGTGCGTGCGTGCGTGCGTGCGTGCGTGCGTGCGTGCGTGCGTGCGTGCGTGCGTGCGTGTGTGTGTGTGTGTGTGTGTGTGTGTGTGTGTGTGTGTGTGTGTGTGTCTGGGTGTGTGTGTGTGTGTGTGCGTGCGCGCGTGTGTGTGTGTGTGCGTGTGTGTGTGTGTGTGTGCGTGTGTGTGTGTGTGTGTGTGTGTGTGTGTGTTTGTGTGTGTGTGTGTGTTTGTGTGCGTGGGTGGGTGCTCCAAGCTTCCTGGTTAGAAGATGGGGTCCTTCGGAGCCGTCGTCGTGGAGCAGTGCACGGCCAGAGCTCTCGAGTTCTCAGCTCCTGTAGGCGGAAACGTCCGCCGCTTACGCTCTTGGTTTTGTCGGGACGCCCGGATGTCACGGGAGCAGAAGGAGCAGCGGCCGCAGTCTGATAGCACGTGCACGCATGTGATCACACTTGTGTCAGGATCGCACTTGTACTCAGCATCGTTGCCACGCCATGCAGCGAGGGACTGCGAAGAGTTGTTGCAAATATGTGGGCATGCGTGAAGTGTGTGCTTCTGTTCCGCAGTTAGCAACGCTCGAGCCAGATGGTAGCCTCGTTTGGGCCATGCCACTGCTATCGGGCAAGCCACGGGATAAGCTTGTGGCGGGCGCGCTGCTGCTTGTCACCTGTGTATGGGCGGCGTGGAAGGCGGCTCGCCTCCCTGAGCCGTTTCCCAACGCTCTGCCACGACTGCTTGCCGGCCCTATGTCTACAACTCCTCGCCCTCCTGCCCATGATTCTCGTCCTTCTCTCATCATCTTTCACCCTTTCCTCCTCCTTCTCCTCTTTCTTCTGCTCCCCCTCCTTCTCCGGACCCTGGGCAAGCTGCGGGCGCGCGAACTTGATTAAGCAGGAGGGAGTCTAGAGCGCTGGCAGCACACATCGCGCTTTCAGCAGTTTTTGTGCACGGATGGGTTCACAGTGGAAACCCATTCCAAGAGACACCCTGCTTGACTCCAGGGTGCCCTGGGTTTGTTGGGTTTCGATGGTTCTGCCATGGCAAGTGTGACGCTCCCACACCATAACCGAGCGAAGTCCTGGGGTCTCAGGGTCGGGCTTCTCGTTGAAGGTTTCTTGTGGTCGAGCTCCTACAGTCATCCCGCATGGGAAGGACGGGCAACCTTCCCAAGGGTACCCTTGCTTACTTGCCTCCTCGGCCCATCCTTGGCCGCTTTCGTTGGCCGCGCCTGGCTCGAAAAGTCTCGAAACGGCCTTCCAAGGCCCTTACATCCTTATCGTGCATCCTTCTGGTAGGGGCCGGCTGCAACACGCATTCGCTCGATCCTGCTGTTCAGGAGGCGCTGCTGCCCCCAGAGAACCCCCACGAGCTCGGCCGTCGCCGCCGCCTCCCCCTTGTCCCCCTCGCCCACAGCTGCACAGTCCGGATGTGAATCTCCACTCTCCCCTGATGCCCTGTGTGTTGGGGGGGCGTCCCCTCTCGCATATGGCTGTTTCGGATGCTGAAGTTCAAGCGCTGTTGAGGTCTAGGTGTTTTTTGCCCATTGTTCATTCTCTGGCCGTTCAAAACGGGCGTCCTCGCTGCAGCGCTCCGCCTGCTCCCGCTGTTGAGGCCCACTCTCGCCACAGCGCGGGTCACACTCCTAGATCCAATTCGTTGCTCGCCCTTGTCGCTCCTATCCTGTTCCCTCCTCCGCCTTTCCCTGGTCCTCCTGCTCCTCCTGCTCCTGCTGCTACTGGTTCTCCTTCCTCGTCATCATTCTGCGCCTCCTCCTCCTCCTCCTCCTCCTCCTCCTGCGCTCCGCCACCACATCCTCCTTCCCCTGCTCGTGCAATGTACAAGGTCCCCTTGCTGATTGCGCACTACACGATGGGGTCACGCTGGGGACCAAAACCATCTGGAACACTCTGGCGGGCGCATGCAAAAGAATTCGGCGCAGCGGGAAGGGATGAGCAGGAGGGGCAGGATGTTAGATGTGGCGCGAGCGCACTGCGCTTGTCCTCCTCCGCTTTCCCGCGCCACCTCTCCCTCCTCACCCTCGTCCGCCTCCGCCATCCTGCTGCCCCTCCTCCTTTTTTCCCGAGGTATGCTCCCTGCCGGCCCTAGTGAGAAGTCAGGGCTGTTGCCCAACCAAATCGCAGGGTATTTCGCAGAAGCGCGCAAGGCATAAGTCTAGGTGTGTTGACGTTGACCCCATTATGCGGATGTCCTGTGTCCTGTCCTCTTTTTTCCGCCTCCTCCTCCTTTTTCCTCCTCTCCCCCC